AAATAGCCGGGGAATATCCAGTTTTACTTTGACAAATTTTAAGAGTTTTAAAAAGTTTTTTTTTATGTTCAGCCAGCAAACATAGTTAAGCAGTTAGTTTATTTATATTTTAATAAAATTCCAAATTGAGCAACTCTACATATCGAATCTAGCTTTAAAATCTGATCGATTTAAGCTTTGAATTATTTTTGTCTTGGACATACTAAAAATGTATAAAAAAATTTGCGATGAGTTGCGTAAAAGTATTTTCATTTTCTCTCTCTTTGAAATAAATAAATAACTCTGTTGATTTTGTAGTCACACAAAGTGCAAATAATATTATTTTGTTGTTGTCTTATAATAATATTATAATTTCTTTACAATCAAAATTATCGCTGATGAAAAACTTACATTTGTTTGCCTGCGCTGTGTGGGATTTGTTGTGCTAGGGCCAGAGTGTTCCAGAACAAAGCAAATGATATGTGCGATAGTATAAATACGTTATAGCGTGTCCACGAAGATCAGGCCTAAAACTGCTGGAACTTGGATTAACGTATATTAACTAGAGCACACTGTCGCACTGTCTATATTATGGATATAACTGACTAATGCTAACTGCTGTTGTTGTTAATTTAGCTTTTGATCTTGCGAATGCAGCTGGTCATTCGTCGAGTTGTTCATTAAGCTGAGCTAGCAGCGCTGCACGTTTGGATTCAAGTTCACCATCGCTAAGCGTTAGCTCCTCATTTCTGGATGTCGCTGAATCCGATTGGGCGGCAGGACTGAGCGGCGTTGTGGATCGATTGTTTCGATGCCGTTTGGCTTCTTTGTCCTTTTTGGTGCGCTTCTCTTTTTTCTTCTTTTTGGCCGGTGAATGCGAATTTGAGTCGTTCTGCTGCAGTGCCGCAGCAGTAATTGGAGTTCGATTGCCCATTTCGGATTCGCAAGACGACTGGAAAATCAACAAGTTGTTTTTTGAATGATTTTAAAAGCTAAAAGGCTTCAAGGACATACCGCTCTAGATTTGTTTTTGCGCTTTTTCTTCTTTTTTAACAGCTTTTCACTCTCAATGCTGCCAATTGAACTAAGAGAATTCTGTGTGGAAAAAATGTCAACTATTAGGTAAGCTATAAAAGAGTTTATGGTTATCAAACTCACTGAGCGAGATTTTGAGCGTCGCTTTCTGGATTTTTCCAGCTCAATCAGCTCGTTCTCAATATCTGATCTGGAGGTGGAGCGGACACGTTTTTTATGCTTTTTATTCTTTTTCGATTTACGCGAACGCGAATGATGATGGCTGCAGGCATCTTCACTCTCTTTAATAAAATCTTCCCAGACCTTTTCCACTCCAATTTCTTTTTCGTACAGCGCAAACGCCTCTAAATGCTCGACCAGCTTTTTGGCGCTTTCATAGGGTTCGCCCACGGACACATTTGCCTCCAGCCATTCATTTTTGATTTCATTTTCCAATTTTCGCAGGCGCCGCACCTCCTCCTTCATGCGCTCCTTTTCAATGGCTTCCGCCTAAAAAATAAATGCATATATTTTTCTTAAATAGGTCAGCAGCTTGTTTTCAGACATTAGTTTACCTTTTCTAGCAGCGAATTGTAAGTTAGCTTTACATTGCCGGCATCCAAGCTGGCGGAGCGTTTATCTTCGCACACAACGGTGGCAAAGTCCTCAAAAGATGTCTTCGCCTGGACAACAAACTGCTTCTCTTTGAGTATTTCCCGTATGATCTTCTTTTCATCATGGAAACGTGCCTTCAAATTCTCTACATAGAACTTAAACAGATCCAGTGGCGTGGAGCCACTCTGACCCAGCATGGCAGAGAAACGTATATCCGCCGATATAATTGGATACAGTTCCACCCACAACGACATAGAGGTGAGTTTTCCCTCCTCATGCAGCGAGTCAAGTAAAGCGAGGAAGCCATCACGATTTTTGCGTTGCTGTCGTTTTAAACGTTTCTTTTCTCGTTCTCGATCCTCTTCTTCCTCCTTCTCGAGCGTACGGATATGCTCCTCAAATACGATAAGCGCATCCTCCTTGTCCATGCCGAGTAGCGTGACATCGTTTTTGAACGCCGCATTGTCCAGCAACATTACCTGCGCCTCCGACCACGTGCTAGCGTACGTAATGGATGTCATTGATTCTAGCAACTCACCAAGTACTTTCATATTACGTTTCTTGAGCAGACGAGCCTCTTCCTTCTCACGCTTGGCCAAATTGAAGATGCAATCCTCGTAGATATCTCTTCGATCCTGTTCTGGTACTGTTGTCCACGTGCGATTGTTCGCAAAAACTTCCTCGCAGCGAAAATATTTCATTTGTGAGTTCATCTTATCGCTAGACATGAGAAACTGTTCCAAATCCTCTTTAGCCTTTTTGGCACGCAATCTCGACTCCTCGCGTTCATCTTTCAGCTTTTGTGTTTTGTATGCATTAAAAGTTTGTTTGCGTTCGTTTAGCGTTTTGAAGGCATTGTAACGCGGATCCTTTGATATGATCTTGACGCACTGATCCCAGTTCGCAGTTGAGGGCACATTTCGATCGCGCAGCAGCTCCTTGAACGCCTCAATGGCCTCGCGCTTATCTTTAAAAACCAGCGAATTGTTCTCGCCACCAGATTTCTCCTCCTTTTTAGCTAAGTAAACAACAAATCGTTTAAGACTTACGTTAAATTTGTGCCCTGGCTACTCACCATTCTGTTGCGGCACCTCGATGGCCGCTAGAGTGGCTGCCATTGCCTGATCCATTGCTGAGGAGCTATTTTCATTACTGCTTGGCGTCAGGGGTGAGTGTATCTCGGGTGTGGGTATACGCGGCGCTGTGGGCAACGCAGCTGGCAGTATATTGGCCAATGCAACATGCGGAACCATACCTGCTAGGCTCGAGGATGTCATGGCGGCAACGGCTTTAGCCGCAGCGGCTGCTCTGCAAGAATACGCGTTTTTTGTTTCAGCAAAATGTTTTGGCGTAAAGGCAGCAGATACTTACTCCTCCGCCTTGGCTTTGGCCTTCATGTCAAGATACTCTGGCGGTGGCTCCCAGCACGTCTCCTTTGTGGTCACATTGTGATAATATACTTTGTTTGCATCTGAGCGATACTCTTTCCAGGGGCACTGATTGTGCAGTAGCTCAGCTGGCGTCATTAGCGCCTCCGGCTTTTCCCACGAACTTTGCTTCGTATTTTGATTATAGTAATACGGTCGTCCATCCGGCGCTTTATGCTCGGTCCACTCCGTATTTGAGGCGAGGGCACCAAATGCGGCAGCTAGTTCCGGTGGCGGCGGTGCACCAAAGCCGGGCGGCGGCAGATTGAATGGTGGCACTGGCACCATTCCTGGCGTGTGCGTGTATCCCATGCCGCCCATTGCGGCGGCTGGCGGCATCGGCATCGCTGCATTGCCATTGCCAGCGCTAGGAGGAACATTCATTTCACTATTTTGCTATATGATTTAATAGATTTAACGTTTGGTACGAGTACCGGTCGTATTGTTGCGGCAGCCAATTTGATGCTTTTCACAATTGCAAATTTTAACAATTTTTTACACTTCTTTCGTTTTGTCATTCACAATGTTGCTGCGTGGTGCTACCAGTTTATGAAAAAAATGTGTCAAGAAGCAGAGCATCTTTGGTATTTTTTAAGCCCATTTCATAAGTAGCTCGTTTGGCATATCGATCTGGATATCGAGTATCTTATCGAATTTTATATTTTTATCATCGTATGCAAAATTTGAAATAAACTATCGTTATTATTTAAATAATCATTTTGGTTACAATTAAAGACAGCAGTGCTAATATCATATTGTATGTAACTTTTTTACAATGTTACTATCAATGTCAAATTTATTCACATGCGATAATGTAACAAGACAATGGATACCGAATTTTTGCAACAGATGCCTCTGTAACTGAAAACGCAGTTGGATTAGCTGTATACAATGTTACCGACGAAGAAGAACACATTTTCAACAGCAACAAAATAATCTCCTCCACCTCTGCGGAACTTATGGCTATAAAAACTGCAATTGAAATAGCGCATCAAAAAAATATTGCCAAATACGTTATATTTACGGATAGCATGGGGGCGATAGCGCTCCTTAGGCAAAAACACTCATCCTCATACCTGGTAGCGGAAATATATGAGATCTTAGAATGGACAAGATTAGAAAAAGCTGAAATTATATGGATCCCGGGTCACAAAAGAATAAAAATAAATGAAAAAGCAGATGAACTGGCCAGAAAAGCATGTACAGAGGGCATCCCTCTCAATATAAGCTATAGCGTAGGTGATGCCTTTAGAGCAGCGAAAAAACGTATATGGCAGAAATGGAATAACCATTATAAAGAGCAATGCAGAACCAAAGGCACCACATTCTTCAATTACTTCCCAATCCTAACAGAGAACCCATGGTACAAAAAGATTAAATGGACAGCATCTAACATAAAACTTATAAACCGTCTCTTCACTGGTCATACATATGACAAAAAGTACCTTCACAAAATCAACAAAGTTGATACGGACATATGTCAAACATGTAATGAAATAGAAAGTGCAGATCATTTAATTTTCCAATGCCAGAAATTTAACACACTAAGAAGGAAATATAAAATCTTCACTAGAGCCAATACAATAAAAGATATCTTAATAACAAAAGAACAACTATACTTAAGAGAATTAACAAAATTCATATATGAAGCAGGAATAAGCATCTAATAATAAACACATATCTATCACAATTACAGATACACACAACACAACACACACAACTGACTACACATAGGGCTGCCTTGCGCCGTCCTAGCTACAACGTATCTGGTCATCTGCCGCACTGTTTTGCGACGACCAACCCCATAGACAGCTTTTGTAACTGTCTTTCTCAAACCAAAAAAAAAAAAAAAAAAGAAGCAGAGCATCTTTGGTATTTTTTAAGCCCATTTCATAAGTAGCTCGTTTGGCATATCGATCTGGATATCGAGTATCTTATCGAATTTTATATTTTATCATCGTATGCAAAATTTGAAATAAACTATCGTTATTATTTAAATAATCATTTTGGTTACAATTAAAGACAGCAGTGCTAATATCATATTGTATGTAACTTTTTTACAATGTTACTATCAATGTCAAATTTATTCACATGCGATAATGTAACAAGATGTGTTTTACATAGATAACAATTACAGATTGCATACAATGCAATAGATTCCATTCAACGTCATTGAAAATTGGCACAGCTGAGTAAACTTAATCGTTACGATCGTAATACTGGAGAAAATGCTGGGTAAGGTAAAAGTTAGCTTAGTAAGTGGCATAAGTATAGATGGGTCGGATCATCATGTTCATAACTCAAAAAAAGCTGCTGAAGGATTTTCAGATCCAAAGGCCACGTCTGATATTACCAATCCTGGTCGTAAGTGTGGTGGTGCTTCTTGTAATATACACAACACAGGACATATCGACGCTTATTTATCGAAATTACGAAATTAAGGACCGGTCAACTGCATACAACATGGGAATACTTTTAAATAAGATTTTCGTAGAAGATGTTCTACTTTCGAGCTCAAAACCTCCGCCAGGTCGCACTATATTCTTCCACGAGACCACATGTTATCATCCGGTTACGCTGTTCAATGTAATGAATCTAACGGCAAGACAAGCCTGTGCCATCGAATCTGCCGCCTCGAATAATCCAAATTTCCAAGTGTTTCTATTGTTTGCCTGTCCCACATACCGTCCTTTATCCGGCGGCCAAAAACTCCTCATCGATGCCATTGAGAGCTATAAAAATGTGCAGTTTCGTCAGTTGAACATAAGTAATTATGCGCGAGACACTCCTATTGAGGATTGGATCAAGAAAGGTGATCTGCTTAACTCCGGGTAGGTCCATATTACTTGTCGCTTGGTGAGTACCTCATTTAATCTATATTCCACTCAGCTTTCCGATGCAGCACACAGCCGACTTACTTCGTCTGATTAGTCTGTACCGCTTTGGTGGAATCTACCTGGACATGGACGTGGTGGTGCTGCGAAGCTTGGAAAATGTGCCACTGAACTATGTGGGTGCTCACGACAATATCACTTTGGGCAATGCTGTAATCAGCCTAGAACCCACTGGCAAAGGCCATGAGATTGCAGAATTATTTTTGCGGGATTACGAAACAAATTATAATGGCAAGGCCTATGTAAAAAATGAACCAGCTCTTGTAACACGCGTTGTAAAAAATCTTTGTGGCAACGACCTCGTTAAACTTATGCAAGAAGGTCGGATAAGTTGCCAGGGGTTAACAGTATTCAACTCTACCGCTTTCTACCCGTTAGGCTGGCCCCAGTGGAAGCATTATACTGAGCCCAAATACCTGGAGGAAACAATGGCAATTACTAAAGATTTTTATTTAATTCATTTATGGAACAAGGCTTCCTATAAGGGCTTGATCAAAGTCGGCTCTAGCACGGCCCTTGGGATATATGCGGAAAATCACTGTCCTAGGGTCTATACGGCAGCTGGTGATTATTTCTAAATCTGCAGTATTATTAAGAATATTAAAATATGTTGTCTGAAAATGTTAATAATAAAGCAAAAACATAGATATTATATAAAAAATTATATAAATTAAATGTAAATCCGTCAACTACTATTTATCTTAGCAATGCTCTAGAATTCATAAAGATTCTGATTAGTATCGTAAGCTGCATTGGCTTTAAAAGATTTTGTTTTGTTATTATCTCTTTGATAATACTAATTAGGTCACAGTTAATCATATGCTACGAGGGTTCCAACCAAGCATTCTTTATTCCGTGATTTTACTGTATTTTTTGGAGCTTTATAAGCATTTAATTATGTGGACTTAGGGCCAATATATACATATAAAACAAAAGATTCTATACAAAGCAAGACGCGACAGTCTTTAAAATTGTAAGCAGCTGAGTAAACTTAATCGTGATGATCGCAATATTTATAGAAATAGTTAGCAAGTTGCATAAGCATAGATAGGCAGAATCATCATGTTCTTCACTCAAAGGAAACTGCTGATGGATTTTCTAATCCAAAGACGACGTCTGATATTAACCATCTTGGCCGTTGGTGTGATGTTGCTTCTTGTAATATCTATAATACAAGACCTAGTCACGCTTTAATATCAAAGATACAAAATCGCGGACCCGTTAGCTGTATACAACGTTGGAAAAAGACCTGCGTCAGGTCGCACTATATTCTTCCACGAGACCACATGTTATCATCCGGTTACGCAGTTCAATGTAATGAATCTGACGGCAAGACAAGCCTGTGCCATCGAATCTGCCGCCTCGAATAATCCAAATTTACAAGTGTTTGGCAATTACCAAAAATTCTTATTTAATACATTTAGTGAACAAGGCATCCTATAGAGGCTTGATCAAAGTCGGCTCCAACCCGGCCCTCGGGATATATGCGAAAAAGCACTGTTCTAAGGTATATGCGGTAGCTGGTGAATATTTCTAATTGATAAATGTTCGCATTCGCACACTCAAAAAAAAACAGTTGTAAACAAAATAAATATATTCTTAATGTCAGTAGCCACATCAAGATTTAATATTTGATGTCAATATTTATAAATGAAAAGAGATGGACAAGTTAGATATATGATAAAATCATCGAAAGCGGACACAACAGATGTAATTCGATGTATCGATGATGGCATCGATAGCTTAGTATGTGTATGCATTCGTGTAACTACATATGTAACGTGTATCTACACATGATTGCTTATAACGGTTTGTAACTGCGATGAAGGATCCTCGGTTTTCAAGTATAATTCTGCGGACACAAAAAAATGTTTAAATTTACGGAGCTGAATAAGCTGTCATGATCATCACATTTAAATTAAAAATATATTAGTTAGTTGTGTCGTTATTTTAATCAGCAACGTCATGTTCTTAATCCAGAAAAGTAACCTTTCGACTTACCTGATTTCTAGACGACGTCTGATATTAGCGGTCCTCGTAGCTGTTGTGTTCGTGTTCAGTATAAAATACTTGACTTCAAATGAAAAGCTTACAGCTGCGGAGGATATTTTACTGTCCAGCTCAAAACCTCCGCCAGGAAGAACAATTTTTTTTATTGAGAGCAGCTGTAATCGTTCAGATTTCCAGTACAATGTGATTAGTATGAAAACGCATCAGGCCTGTGGCATTGAATCTGCCGCCTTGCATAATCCAAAATTCCAAGTATTTGTTCTGTTTGCCTGCCCCACCTATCGTAACGAATCAATGCCCATCATTGATGCCCTTTTAAGCTACAAAAATGTGCACTTTCGGTCGCTAAACCTGGATCGCTATGCAGAAGATACGCCTATCGCGGATTGGCTGAAGAAGGGCGATCTACTTAAGTCAAGGTTCGAAATTATTTTCCATCATAATTTAGCTACTACTATATACCACTTAGTTATCTGAAGTTTCATCTATCCGACCTACTACGTTTAATAACACTTTATCGCTTTGGCGGCGTCTACATGGACATGGATGTGTTACTGTTACGCAGCTTGGAGGATGAGCCGCTAAACTTTGCAGGTGCCGAGAGAGCAGATAGCATCGCCAATGGTGTTATAGGATTGGAACCCAGTGGCTTTGGCCATCAGCTTGCCGAATTATTTCTGCAGGACTTCCAGGCTAATTATAAGGGCGACACGTGGGCCCACAATGGACCCATGGGCTTGGTGCGCGTATTGTCAGAGGTTTGCGGTACGAAAAATGTTACGCTCATGGTGAATAATCGCGATCGCTGTCAGGGCTTTAAAGTGTTCGATGTTAACGCATTTTACGAGATCCCATGGCAGCAATGGAGATTTTTTTTCCAGCCAGAGACCGCGCTTCTCGTGCTTGGCCGCACTATCAACTCGATTATGGTGCATATATGGAATCACATAGTCACGGAATGGCCCCTTAAAACCGATTCAATCAATGCCTATATGATGTGGGCATCGCAACATTGTCCCAGGGTCTTTGCGGCCGCGGGAGAACTATTTGATTAGGCCAGATAAAAATCCTCACATTTCGTTTTCAATTGATTCCATGGGTATATTCTTTCAGGAATGATGACAAAGTATTTTGTTTTAAAATTATTGTGTTCTCTCTGAAGTGAATAAATTAGGAATAAACATTGTATAATTCAATAGGAAAAGGTTAGAATGCATTGATTAGTGTATTTGAAATTTGCGGAGTTTTGTCATTTGAACATTTGTAAGACATAAGTAAACTTTTTATCGTGTAGAGCAGTGTTAACAAATTCTAATTGCTTTGCACTAAGCCTATGTCATCGTATAAATGATTTGAAAGATGCTAATTTTTATTTGTCATTAAGTTTGTCTTATCTTCGACAGCCCAAAAATGCGTTACCCTTGTAATCAGGTATATATGGTACGTTAAGTTTGAGGGCATAATCGGTCTTGTCTATACATCCACTCTTATCTTAACCCAATTAGTATTATATGTTCTACAAACATTCTAGCCAATCTTGATTTCCGCTATTTTTGGAGCTTATTTAGTATTTAATATGTGGGCAGAAGATTCTAGCACGGCTGTTAACCAAACAAAATTGCAGCTGGTACGGTCGTAGTGTTCCACATCAATGAACACAGGTGTTGATTTAACCTTTGTGTTTTTATACATTTTCCAAATTTTAAAAAAAGATTCAACAATATCATTTATTATAATGAAAATGAATAATTTTACGACGAACTTGGGCAACTTGTTTGGTTTAAGGTTCGTTTCGTTAAAAAATAAGTTCACAACTCGACCTAGTTCGGTAAAATTCGGCTTTCTGCCCTGGTTTTTATTAAATTCAACGGCCTCTTAGAACTAACGCAGATGAAAAAAAGCTGAGTAAATAATAAATCCCGGAGAAGAATGCTCGCGTGTTTGTAAGGTCAGCTAGATTGTGGATCCAGGGTAACAGGGTATACCATACGTAGTTCCAGTTTATCTCCTTCCAGTCTCATAATATCAGTTAATATACATATGTAAATACATATACAAAACTCGGCTTATAGGCGGCTAGTTCCAAAATATAACAGCTAGATACACAGAACATGGTATATATGTTCTTGTATAATGTATACAAATAATATTTACAATTTTTCATGGTATATATGTATATATATACATATATATATAAATGGGTGTGAGGTTTCTTTTTTCTTTCATTTCAAATAAGTAGCTAGCGTCTACAATAACAAAAAACAAACAGCAGACCAAGAAAATGTTTAAATTGACCCAGCTGAAAAAAGCTGCTTTGATCGTCACACGGACCATAATTTTTCTTATCGATCCAATGGTTAGTTAGTCTTGTCTTTACCTTCGCTCAGCATCATGATGTTCTTGAGTCTTAAAAGTAGGCTGTCGCCCTATCTGATCAATAAACGACATCTCGTATTAGTGCTCGTGGTTGCTGTTGTGTTCCTTTACAGCTCAATATTCTTGATCTTAAATGAGAGAAAAGTTCTTTCTTTCAAAAAATTTGACTCAAAGCCTCAGCATGCGGAGGAACCGGCGCCTACAATTATAGAGGATATTCTATTGTCCAGCTCAAAACCTCCGCCTGGACGAACAATATTTTTTATTGAGAGTAGTTGCTACCGTTCGGGATCCCAGTACGATATGCGTAGTATTAAGGCGCATCAGGCTTGTCCCATTGAATCTGCCGCCTTCCATAATCCAAATTTCCAAGTATTTGTTTTGTTTGCCTGCCCCACCCACCGTAACGAATCACTTCCCATCATTGATGCACTTCAAAGCTACAAGAATGTGCAATTTCGGTCGCTAAATTTGGATCGATATGCACAGGATACGCCCATCGCGGATTGGCTCAAGAAAGGCGATCTATTTAAGTCAAGGTTTGAAATTATTTTCCATCATAATTTAGCTTCCACTAAGACTTACGTGTTGTCTATCCACTCAGATATCTGATGTTTCACCTATCCGACCTACTCCGATTAATTACACTATATCGCTTTGGCGGCGTCTACCTGGACATGGACGTCCTGCAGCTCCACAGCTTGGAGGATGAGCCACTAAACTTTGCAGGTGCTGAGAGAGCAGATAGCATCGGCAATAGTGTAATAGGATTGGAACCCAACGGATTTGGCCATCAGCTTGGCGAATTATTTCTGCAGGACTTCCAGGTTAATTATCAGGGCGACGCGTGGGCCCATAATGGACCCATGGGCTTAGTGCGCGTATTGTCAGAGATTTGTGGTACAAAAAATGTTACCCTCATGATGAATAATCGCGATCGCTGTCAGGGCTTTAAAGTGTTCGATGTTAACTCATTTTACGAGGTGCCATATCAGCAGTGGCCACTGTTTTTCGATGCAGAGAAGGCGAGCAAAACGCTGGCACGCACTAAGGACTCCAGAATGGTGCATATATGGAATCACATAGTCACGAAATGGCCCCTTAAGATTGACTCAAAATCCGCCTATATGCAGTGGGCTGCGCAATATTGTCCAAGGGTCGTTGCGGCCACAGGAGAATTATTCTATTAAGCGGATAAATATATAAATATATAATATAAAATAAATATTTTTCGTTATCGTAAATGCTACTTGATTTACACTTAGCCACGCCTTACAATTTTTAAAGATTGTAATTATGGCGTCGAATAGCTGATTTCAAAGAAAATAACTTGTATCTATCTGCAAGTGTTCCTTATCTTTGACAGCCTAAAAATATACAGTTGTTTATTCCATTAAGTTTTGAATGCGTGTGCGTAGTCTACGAGCATCATCGCTCTTACCGGTCTTATTTATAATCCACATCCGCTCAGCTTAACCCATTATCTTCCACATATGCTACAAATTTTCTGGCCCATCTTGAATTCCGCTCAGATTCTAACAAGGATGGAAGCCAAACAAAATTTCCGTTAGTAAAGCTCATTGTTTTAGGTGCGGGTCGTTAGCCTAGTTTTTCACATCATTGAACTCAAGTTTGATTCAACTTTTGGTTCAAAATTATAAAAAATTATTATATTTAGTATAATTGTAAAATACAAACAATCGTTAACTTTATTTCAGAATTTTTCCCTTTCGTGCGGCCACGATCCAACAACTGAAGTGCTTGAAGTATCGATATCATCTCCGATATCGATGCTTCGCGCATATTGCGCTGGGTTGCTAATTGTTTTATTGCTGTACAATATGGCTACATTGTAGAATATGGTTACATTGATTTCACTCAAATTCAGATTCAATTGGTTGTCGATCTTTTATAAAAAAAAAATAATGCCAACCATATTAAGCCAAACCAAATTTTAAAAAATATATGGTTCGGTTCAGCCTTCGGATTAGCGAATTTGAGCATTTGGTTTGGTGTAAGGTTCGGTCCTTACAATAAAAAAATTTAATTCCCGCTTTGCCCTAGTTTGGTTAAAAGCCGGTTTGCTGATCTGGTTTCTATAAGTTCGAATGTATGCAACGGCATTTTGATTATGGATTCAGGATATCTCTTAGAAATATTTATTCTCGTATGCCATACGGAGTACGAGGTTACCTCCTTCACATCTCAAAATATCGGTAAATATAGATTTTGAGACATGGCTTATAAGCCAACTCCAAAATATGAGAGCAAGGTAGACCAAACCTGGTAAGTAGGTTGTCGTATAATATGCACAGATAGTACACACAATTATATGTGCTTGTGTGCTTATGTATGGGGTTTATTTTTCTTTCATTTCAAATATGTAGCTAGCGTCTACAAATAAAAAAAAAAACAATTACGAGTGTTCTAGTTGTGAATGCCCGACTATGGGATACTCAGAGCCAACCAAAGCCCCCTCGCGCTAGGCGCTCGTTTGCCTTAGGATTTATAAAAAAAAAATAAGAAAGAAAAAGTTTAGAGAACTAACTCGGACTAGAACTCGCAAAACCATTTAACCTCATCACCTCAGCCACACCACGTCAAATTAATTAATTCTAGCTTTTTCAACCAAAGATATTTTCTTAAAATAACATAATTTCGATATCCATTTTTAACAGTTACTTGGAAACGTGGCATAATCTCGACTATCGGAAACAAACTTGTACGTTCAAAATTTCTGTAGCTTTGATAGTTTCTGAGCATACTTTATGGGGTCGGAGATGTTTCTACCCGCCTGTTACATACATTTGCACAAAACTATTATACCCCGCTTACTAATTTTCAATGGGTTCTAGCTAGAAAAATGTTTTGTTTAACCAAGCTAAAAAATAGGCTCGTTACATTAAACTTTTATATGACTTACCTATTGAATAGTTAGTTAGTCTCGACTTTAACTTCGCATCAACATCGTCATGTTCTTACGTCTAAGAAGTAGGCTGTCACCCTATCTGATCTATAAACGACATACGAGATTAATGGTCGTGGTTGCTGTTGTGTCCGTTTTCAGTTTAATATCCTTGATCTCAAATGAGAGAACAGTTTTTATAAACATAAAGGATTCTGCAGAGTCCACGAAACACAACTATGAAAAGCCTATAGAGAAAACAGAAGAGGAAAAACTAGACTCGAAGCCTCAGCATGCAAAGACGTTAAGGACGAAATCTCCAAAACCTCAGCATGCGGAGGTGTTAAAGATAAAATATCCAGAGGAACCGGCGCCTACAATTATAGAGGATATTCTTTTGTCCAGCTCAAAGCCTCCGCCAGGAAGAACAATATTTTTTATTGAGAGTAGTTGCTACCGTTCAGATTCCCAGTACAATATGAGTAGTATTAAAGCGCATCAGGCTTGTCCCATTGAATCGGCCGCCTTGCATAATCCAAATTTCCAAGTATTTGTTTTGTTTGCCTGCCTCACCCACCGTAATGAATCAACGCCCATCATTGATGCCATCATAAGCTACAAAAATGTGCACTTTCGGTCGCTAAATCTGGATCGCTATGCACAGGATACGCCCATCGGGGATTGGGTCAAGAAAGGTGATCTATTTACATCAAGGTTTGAAGTTATTTTCTATCATAATTTAGCTACTACCTTGACTTACGTGATATCCACTTAGTTATCTGATGTATCACCTTTCCGACCTACTTCGATTGATAACACTATATCGCTTTGGCGGCGTCTACCTGGACATGGACGTCTTGCAGTTACGCAGCTTGGAGGATGAGCCACTAAACTTTGCAGGTGCTGAGAGATCAGATAGCATTGGCAATAGTGTTATAAGTTTGGAGCCCAACGGCTTTGGCCATCAGCTTGGCGAATTATTTCTGCAGGACTTTCAAAAGAATTATATGGGGCACGTGTGGGCCCACAATGGACCCATGGTGCTAGTGCGCGTATTGTCAGAGATTTGTGGTACGAAAAATGTTACCCTCATGGAGAATAATCGGGAACGCTGTCAGGGCTTTAGAGTGTTCGATATTAACGCATTTTTCGAGGTGAGATTTGACGAGTGCATACTGTTTTTCGAGCCGGAGAACGCGACTGAAACTCTGGCCCGCACTAAGAACTCGCGAATGGTGCATACATGGAATCACATAATCACAAGGTGGCCCCTTAAGATTGATTCAAAGGCCCCCTATATGCATTGGGCGGCACAACATTGTCCAAGGGTCGTTGCGGCCACTGGAGAGCTGTTCTATTAATTCATATAGAATATCTATATATTTGAAAAGATTGATGAGGCTAATGTTTTCGGTGGCTTTGAAATATTATTTTGTTGTATAATGTATTCTGTCAAGCAAATTTAATTTATTTTTCCCCCCTTTAAGGAAATGAGTATTTTGTGAATAGATATGAATGTAAATTTTGGGGTTTTTGCACTGTTGATTTCCATTAAAACTTTAAAACATATATACACGTGGAATTCATCAATAAGCAGAATAAATGTGTGCATATGCTGACATTTGCTGTCATAGGAAATATTCAATATTGATATTCTTGATTGTTTAAGCCGACTAAGTTGGTAAAGTGTAAGTAGGTAGGAAATTGCTTATTGATACAGCTGAACATTCCGATTGCCACGCTTTATTCGCAGAGATGGCAGCGTCGATAATAAAATTGGGTCAGATTATTTAAAAACCTTTAGTTTTAGAGCCTAAATCGACAACTTTTTGGTAACTATTGAGTTGAAGTCTGTTAACATTTCACTTTTATTGTTCCCAAACTTGTCAAAAAGTCACTTAAGCATGAATATTCCTTGAGCTTTGGATTGACATACATTCGGATGCAGTTTAATTACCCTGAAAATAAAGCTCGGCAAATAAACACTGAAGTTATTCTAGAGCAAATACTCCATAGTGTTCATCTAGGGGTTGAAGCAGCTGAGCATACAGCATAACACGCGAAGATTGAGGCTTTTTATACCCCTGTTGAAAGTATTATAATGTTGTGATTAAATCTGTAAAGCATAGAAACAGACATCTCCGATCCTTTAAGGGATATACATTCTATATAGCACCATCAGAAGCAAAGCCATACCCGTCCCGTTTGTTTCTATTCAAACTAGTCTCTCAGATTTAAAGCTTTCGTCTTCAAACTTTTCATTGGTCCGTCTTACTGTTGCGGGCAGTACATATGTCGGTTCCGGCCGAATGAGACCACTATATTATATAGCTACTATAGTTCAAAGTTCAAACTGGCCGTTGATAAGTTTCACTATGCTTCTTACATATATGCAAAATCTTATCAACTACGAACCAATGATCTGACGATATCCTTTCTCGATTCGTTGTTTATATATATGGATTTATAGATTATTAACTGCTTGTAACGGTTTGTTACAGCATTTAAGCTTGTAACGTCGACAAATAGGAAACAGCCAAGTCGGTGTGTTTAAATTGACCCAGCTGAGTAAACTCTCATGATTGTTACATCGAGTTGTAAAATGTTTTGCCTATTAAATAGCTGGTCAGTCTTATTTGTACCCTCCGCCAGCATCGTCATGTCCGTACGCCCAAAAAGTAGACTGTTGCCTAATCTGTGCTATAAACGGCGTCTGTTGTTAGTGGTTCTCGTTGCGGCTGCCTTAATTTTCAGCATAATATCCTCGACCTCAAGTTGGAGAAAAGTTCGGACAGAAATTAAGGATACTCCTGCGTCCACGAAACACAATCATGAAAAGCCTATAGAGAAAACAGAACGGGAAAAATTAGACTCAACGCCAGAGCATGCGGAGGTGTTAAAGATAGAACCTCAAGAGGAACCGGTGCCTACAATTATAGAGGATATTCTTTTGTCCAGCTCAAAACCTCCGCCAGGACGAACAATATTTTTTATTGAGAGCAGCTGCCATCGTTCATATACCCAGTACAAAATGAGTAGAATTAAGGCGCACCAGGCCTGTCCCATTGAATCTGCCGCTTTACATAATCCTAATTTCCAAGTATTTGTTCTGTTTGCCTGCCCCACCCACCTTAACAAATCACTTCCCATCATTGATGCCCTTCTAAGCTACAAAAGTGTGCACTTTCGGTCGCTTAATCTGGAACACTATGCACAGGATACGCCCATCGGGGATTGGGTCAAGAAAGGTGATCTATTTACATCAAGGTTTGAAGTTATTTTCTATCATAATTTAGCTACTACCTTGACTTACGTGTTATCCACTTAGTTATCTGATGTATCACCTTTCCGACCTACTTCGATTAATAACACTATATCGCTTTGGCGGCGTCTACCTGGACATGGACGTCCTGCAGTTACGCAGCTTGGAGGATGAGCCACTAAACTTTGCAGGTGCTGAGAGATCAGATAGCATTGGCAATAGTGTTATAAGTTTGGAGCCCAACGGGTTTGGCCATCAGCTTGGCGAATTATTTCTGCAGGACTTTCAGAAGAATTATGAGAGCGATGCGTGGGCCCATAATGGCCCCATGGGCTTAGTGCGCGTTTTGTCAGAGGTTTGCGGTACGAAAAATGTTAGCCTCATGGTGAATAATCGCGATTGCTGTCACGGCTTCAGAGTGTTCGATATTAAAGCATTTTACGAGGTGAGATTTGACGAGTGCAAAATGTTTTTCGAGCCGGAGAACGCAACTGAAACGCTGGCCCGCACTAAGGATTCGCGAATGGTGCATACGTGGAATCACATAGTTAGAAGATGGCCCCTTAAGATTGATTCAAAATCCGCCTATATGCAGTGGGCGGTACAACATTGTCCAAGGGTCGTTGCGGCCACTGGAGAATTGTTCTATTAATCCCATCTGGCTTACTCATGTTTCAGTTGTGTTGTTTATGAGGATATTGTTAATGATATTATTTTGATATAAGTCAGAAGTTAAATATACCTCTTGATCGTCGAAAACTTTAATACATAAGTGCGTATATATGTACAGTTGCAATCGCCGCATTAATCAGCTGTTGGTTGTCTGCAACTGCAACTGCAGGTAATTTAAATCTACTGCGCTGCTACTAATTCACTTATCGATATCGATAGTTGTACACAACTGGTAACAATACCTTAAACTTTTGAAAAGAATGCTTACAAAAAACCGACAATTAAACTTAAGCGAAAAAAACAATAACTAAAACAATGGTTGATAATATTTACATTCAACATATGTTGTATGATTAGTGATTCAATGCAATATGTAAATAAATTTTTATCGATGGTTCCATAGGGTTGAGAGGCAGCATAAGAGCAGATATTGAGTACAACAGCGTGTTAACAGTTAACAGAGTTATACCATAAATATGTCAAATAATGATTTATACAAATATACTGAGGCCAAAACGTAACTTATATATACTGATAAAATGAATAATCTAAAACGATGGACAAATTCAAATGATTACAACATAACACAAGTTTTTAACATTGTAAAACTATAACAGAATAGTAATAGGGAAACAAACTTAATAACATAAATCTGTTAAGTTAACATTGCATAGTTAGCATTGCATAGTTAAATCGTCTTTGCACAAGTACCAATTGCTGCGTCGGAAATATTGGAGATTTAACTTTTTTAAAATGCTATAAGCAGCGGTGAGTGTGCCTAATACATTTTACATTCTTCGCGATTGTAAGAGCAGTGCTTCATCTGTGCAAATTGTAAATTTATGCTATGTGCACATTAATATTTATAAATGTTTCAACATATGTGTATTATGGCTGTGTGCGTTTGAGTTACTGCAAAAACGGTTGATTTTGCCACAAAGGGCGAAAAACAGAACGAAGTACATATGTATATGTGTATATGTATATACTAAGGCCCCATCTTAAACTCCAGCTGCTTAGTTTCGGGCTGTTATGAAAATGCTGCTGGGTCGATATTATACTAGAACATATAAAAAACTCACAAATTCATACAAACTGACCCTTAACACTTGACAGAAATGTAAGACGCACTCAGTTACAAATTAAGAGTCTAGCTTAATTTTGTGAATGGTTTTTCTATTTCATTTGGCGTCGCTAACGTGTGTCGTTTCACCTTGGTGTGCGTGTCAATACAAACACACATTTCTTATTTGTACTCTGCTCATTAGCGGCTTTTCAGACGTCATTTATATACATATATACACAGACAGACAGAAAGAGACATCTTTTTATAAGTATGTAATGTGTATTTGTTTGTGTTCGTATATACCAGTTAAAATGTACATATGTATATGAATTATTTTTAAAACTGTTGTTTTTCGACCTGAGACTGTTTTACATACAGTTGCACTTACAAATGCACATGCGTATGCATGTATATTCTCGATTCTTGATTATGTAACTTTCTCTATGGACGCAAGTCAAGTAGCTAAAAAACTAATGTAACGATTTAATAAATACGTGTGTATGTACATACATATGTTTTGATGAATGGCTCTTTAAATGTATGTACAAATAAATGTGTAAGTCGCCGACGCTCGTCGTTTTATACGAACTGTATTGCTGCAAGCTGATAAGCCATCTTTTCAGAGATTTATACTCGATTTCAATGGCATTAAACTTCAACTTAATAAAAGAAAAGAACAGTTTATTACTTTAACGTGCATAAGAAAATGTACATAGGTACGTGCATATGAATTTATATTGTATGTTCATGTTTTGCTTGTGCTAATTTAATTATTATCTCTCATTTGAGTCTTTTTTCGCGTACATTGCGCATTATTTTTTTTTTTGTCATTTAGCTAATTTTCCTTTTGGTACCCTGTAGCTATAAAAAATAAGTAAAAAGTGTATAACATCTCTACCTACTTGTGCAAGAGTTTTAAAGCTCTAACTTATTGAAAAGGCGAAAAAGAAAAATTTGTTTTTACGATATATCAATATCAGGATGACAGGATGCTTGTTTTGTATCTTATTTATTATATTTTGTGTTATATAACACATAAACTAGGATGGAGTACAAGCAACAGCGAGTATTTCTTGGTGGCCAGAATAGATTATTTTCTTAATTTCTATTTTTATTTTTAATACCCACCAATTAATTAAATATTATAAATTTACCAATTTTACAGGGGCTTTCGTAATTCTATATTAAAGTGTCCAAAATGTTGTTCTGAAAGATAAGAATTTTTAATATAACGAGTCTTTTATGTAGAAATTATAATTTATAATTACTGTGTAAACAATAACGTTGTGTGGCTAAGATAACACGTAGTGCATTGTTGTTCTTCTGCAAGGGTATTTAATCTTCCGCACTTCAAAGATAACCATTCTTACTTGGTTTCCGGTGTATCTATAAGTTTTAGGCTCAATGCCAAAAATGTTATTGATGATATAGACAAAGAACATATTTGAACCATCCGAAAATTTTTTATGATATGGATTGCTAAATACTGTACTTGTGTTTTTATATATGTACAGTCTCTGAATAGAAATCAACACTTAACTAAAACCATTTATTTATGATAGAATTTATATTTTCGTCCACAGGTGTAATATGCAATCGCACAATGACACACATATAATGCCATATAAGTTTTTGAGATTACACACGGAAAAATGGAAACAATATCCAAGATCTCCCTGATATTGGCTGCATTGTTTGTTAACATTGCGGTCGCCGCCAATGCGGCAAATCAACTCGGCTGTATCACCGCGTACAGCCCAAGGAATGTCACGTTGCAGACGCAGGGTAGAACCATAGGAGCCAAGGGAACGGGAGCAGTAACGCCTCGAACATGGCAAGAACACGAATTCTCCCTGCTGGGTTACAAGTTCCATTTGCCGTTTGTGGGTCATGCTGTCGACTCGGATGTAGACGATGGTGATAGTCTCGATGATGCCTGGCTCCTAGATAATAGTGCACAGCCATTATACACCAGACAGGAGGAATTACTAGAACAGGAAAGCTCCGAGCAGGGTGATCCTGACAACAGCATTATAAAGCTTAAATGTCAGAATACGAGCGTGACAGAGATCAATGCCCAGTTGCTGTTTAATCGCCATATAAACTATGAGCAGGTGACACTGATGCATGTACCAGGCAATCCTGACGAATCACTGAAACTGCAACAGTACGAGAGCATACGGCAATTTAAATGGATGCTTAGTTCACTGCAGGACGACATATTACAGCGACTCTTTGAGCAATATGGGCAACGTTTTGATACTGTCGAAACGTTGGACTTGAGTGAGAATCGGCTGAGCTGCATCCACTGGGCGCAGCCTCAGGCCATGCGCCGCCTTAAAGTACTTAAGCTGAGTGGCAATCGTTTAGCCAACTGCAGCCTGGCCGAGCTACAGCATATGAATCATCTGTTGGAGCTGCACTTGGATCGCAACGAGCTGCGGGCACTGCCCGTACACTTTGTGCATCAGCTAAGCGAGCTCCGACTGCTGAATCTTACCGATAATGAGCTGGCCGAGCTGCCCCGCAACATATTTGAGGGTGCACTGCAGCTGGAGTTGCTGCATCTGGCCGGCAATCGGTTGACCGTTTTGCCCTTCCAGCTTTTCCAAACGGCGCGTGAACTGCGCCTGTTGGATCTCAGCAATAATCGCTTGCTCTCGTTTCCTGACAACTTCTTTTCACTCAATAATCAGCTGCGCCAGCTGCAGCTGCAAAGCAACCAACTGCAGTCCATAGGCAAGCACAGCCTGTATAATCTTCGGCAGCTGCGACATCTGGATCTATCACAGAATGAGCTGGGCAGCATCGATCGCAAGGCCTTCGAGTCGCTGGAGCAGCTTGTGACACTCAATATATCTGGCAACAAACTAAAGCTGCTGTCCTCCATTATATTCCAGCCACTTGGAGAACTGCAGCAATTAGACCTTAGTCGAAACCAGTTCAAGCAATTGCCCGATGGACTCTTTCAGACGCAACGCAAATTGGTGTTGCTGCGAATCGATAAGACCCCGCTGCAGCAGCTGCCCAATTGGATATCCCGTAATGAGGACTACGTGGATGGGCAAATACTACAACGTCTGCGCTATCTGTCTATGCAGCAAAATACGCAGCTCACCCAGCTGCCCGCTACGTTGTTTGCCAATGTGCGAAATCTGCGTGAGCTGCTGCTGGCTGACAATAGCCTGTCCAAGCTGCCGTCACAGATTGGCAGCCTGACGCGTCTGCAGCGTCTGAGTGTGCGCGGCAATCGTCTGGGCTCGCTGCCGGAGAGCCTCAAAGAGCTCAACAAGCTGCAATATTTAAACATCTTGGGCAATGAGTATATTTGTGATTGCAGCATGTACTGGCTCACCGGCTGGTTAACAAATGCGACGACCTCGTTGCGACGGGCAGCCATAACTGCTAATCGTACACTTGATTTGTATGAGCATATTGACAACCAGATTGATGCACTCAACTGTCAATATGGCTATCCCGGGGACATGTTACGCGTGCTTAGCAATCTCAACTGTAGCGTGCCCGTTGTGGTGCAATCCTCAGAGCCCAAGATGTACAGGCTACATGCAACCGCCAAGCTCGAGTGCATGGTCTTCGGTAGCCCAACCCCGGATATTATTTGGGTAAGTCACTGGGTTCATATTTCAACCTGCTCCAACAATTGGTTTACTGTTTGCAGGTGACGCCACGTCACAAGATTCTGCGTCATCACGCCGATCCTGACAAGCGACCCATCATCATCAACAGCGATAAAGAACATCAGCCCAGTAAATTTGAACTTTTCGCCCTGACGGACGACAGCAACGCCCAGACATTGCACATAAACATCAGCAGGCAGAAAAGCACTGTGGGTCAGCGTGTGGTGCTCATCGAGAATGGCTCGCTGCTAGTGCACAATATATCACGCGGCGACAGCGGCCTCTACACCTGCTATGCCTTTAATGTGATGGGCAATGCTTCGGCTGGCATAAGGTAAGATCATAAAAACGATATTCATTTTCAGGCCTGCGCACCTAACAGTCATGCGTCTTCAAATTTAATTTGCATTTCCTTAGTTTGATTTTTTAAAGTATATTTTAATAGCACCATTTGTAGACCCAGCTATACTGGGATCTATTGACAGTGACAAAACAGAGGTCCACCCAAGCCTTAAATTACTTGTACTAAGCCATTAGGCTTATAAGAAGAACCTTAATCTGGTAAGACCATCCCCAAGAAGTGACCCATTCCTTGCTTAACTTTGAACAAATCTGGGAAGCAGGCATTTCTGCGATCAGTAGATCAAAACTGTTTTTTTGGTACAACCAGATGGACTCTAGGTTTGCCCTGTTTGTGGGAGTATTGTGATAACTGTGATAGAGCCATGTTTACCATAGAGTTAGTTGCGTATCTACCGGATGCTGTGCATATAAACCTACTGAAAGGAGAATGTCAAGACGTATTCCAAAACGTTGTTATA